TGTCTCGAACCCGCGGGCTCAGGCAATTCACTCACCTCAGCCTCCCAAAGGCGCGGGATTACAGGCCGAGCCCGGCTCAGAGATCTTTAAGTCTCTTTTTTGTCAGTCTGTGAAGGTGGTGTGAGAGTACTCCCTTTCCCTCTCCTCTTCCATGGCTTTTGTCATTTTTAGCAGCAGCAGGATTCCTTCAGTGGGTGTGCAAGTTGCAGTTCCTCTGGCTGCAGGCTGCAAAGGGCAGGCATTTATTGGAAGGATGCTGGGGTGCTTCAAGGAATTGAAGCAAGAACTGACTCTGGAAGGGCAGGCCCCAGGGCAACCCTCAGCTGTGTGGGAACCAGGCACTCGCTTAAGGGCTCCTGATTCCTGAGGACCAACTCCTGCTGCTAACCCCAGGAGGCCTGGCCTGCCCCCTCACTGGAGGAGGGGGCCAGCTGGAGGGGTGATGTCCAGTGCTGACTGAGGAGAACTTTGCTAGGGTATAGTCAGGCAGCACATGCTGGGTAGTGTGCACTAGGCCACGTCCAGCCACCATCACGACTCAGGGACCAGGCTCTTCCTAGAACACCCTCTCCCTTCCTACCTGTGTCCGGACACCTGCCCTGGGCTGCACTCATGGGGACCAGCAGTTGCAGCCCGACACCCTCCAGTCATGCCCAAGACCTCAGTCACTTGCTCTGGGCTCACTCCTTGTGGGCCCCGTGGTGTTGCTGCCCAGTGCCAGCAGCCCTTTGGCACAGGGGTTCCCAGAGGCCCCTCAGACTCATGCTTATCCCCCTCCCATCTAGCAACTCCACGGACTTGCCACTGCTCCACTCCCACCTGCTGCCCATCCCAGGGATTCTGCGAGGGTCTTGGGACTGTGTCCTGTAACCCTAACCCTAACCCCAACTTCTCAGCCGTAGGGGAAGTTCCAGCTGTGGGGATGGTCTTGCCATGCCTTGTCCCTCCAACTGGCCTTGGAGAGAAGAGCTGGATTCTGCCCCTGGGCTGCTCAGCGTGTGCTGAGCCAGAAAGCAGCTGCCAAAACCTCAACCCACCCCAGACCTTGGGAGCCCGAGGAGCAGGCCCGGGCTCTCAGAGCACTGATAAGATAGGCAAGGGAGGTGGCTCTTCAGGAGAAGCGGCCTTGAGAGGCCTGCCCCTCCGGGTCTGGGGTTCAGGCCTGCCCCAAACTGGAGTTGGAGCTTCATCCTTTTCTAGAAGGGCAGGACCTGGGGTGGGAGGGGAGCTCGGGGCAGGTTTGGGGGCAGGCCGGGCCGCCGAAATGATGGTCTGTCACGGCCTCTGCCTGTGCTCCTCAGGAACCCTCGGAGGGGACGTTTCACAGCCTCAGAAACATTTCTGAACTTGGCCCCCACTCGGCCCCCGGCCCCGCGGTGGTTGGGGGAAGCCGGCATGGAAGAAGGGAAGGACGAGAAGAGGGGAGGAGACGATGAAGGGGGGTCAGAGCAGCGATTGGAGCTGAGAGCTGGAAGCGCCTTAAAGAGACTGCGCGGTCCCCGCCCCCCTTCCCGCCAGCCTCAATGAATTAGAGCTGTGTTTCCCAAACTTGCCTGATCATAAGAAGCCTCTCGGGCCCTAGTTAGAGATGCAGGTTCCGGAATATCTCCCTCCGAGAGTCTGATTCAGTAGGCCTGCGGGTGGAGCCGAGGAATCTGTAATTTTAACACGCTCCCCACGTGATTCTCGTGAACAAGCAAGTTTGGGAAATATTGAATTAAAGGAAACGGGGCCTGGCTGCAGAAGCGGCCTCCGCTAGGGGGCTTCGGCGGGAGGATTCCCGGGGGCGTCGCCTGCTTCCGCCGCCGCCTCCTTCAGTGAAAGTCCCTTTTGGGTCCAGCTGCCACAGCCACCGCGCTCTCTCAGGCCGGGCGGGGGACACCCCAGGTCTGCGTGGCCCCCGCGCCGCCACGCCCAGTGGCCGCTGGAGCCCTGAGAGCAGGGGGAGGAGCCGCCGCCAGTGGAGGCGGAGGAGTTAGAGGAGGCGGAGACGGCGGAGACGGCAGAGAAGGCGGAGAAGGCGGAGAGGAAGGTGGAGGCGGAGGCGAAGGTGGAGGGGAAGGCGGAGGCGGAGGCGGCAGAGGCGGCAG